TGTGCTCGTGGGGCACATGTTTGAGGCTATTCGTCATATGAGTCTATTACGTGTCTTCTTCTGTGGTGGCAGGGAGTCGAGGTGAGCGTAAGGTTTCTTCATACAGTGGTGGCGTTTGGAAATTAAATGGCCTTTCCTTTATTTTGGAGGTCTGATGCTACATTCTGGATGTAAAAATGAGTGTTTCGGTGGCCGGTCACCCTGAAATCCACAGTACTTATAGCTATGTGTAATCAAAATAGCTAGAGCTAAGAGGAAACTCATTTTATTTTATGTGAGCTGTATATTTAAGATGTTACACAAGAAATTATCTGTTTTCCTTCACAGCTATATTTTAATGATTAACCTGGGAAAAGATCATCCCTCATAGTTTCATGAAAGAAGCTTTAAGCCCTCTGACCTATTTATATTGGCTGATAACGTGTTGCCGTCTCGACCCCACTGTTTTCTGTGCTGTGTATGGACTTCATTTGTTTTGAATTCATCATTAGGTAGAAGCGTGCAGCCCTCACCTCAGTAACTCATCCTTCCTGTGTTCGCTTGTTCATTTCACATGTCCTCAAGTTAACTCTAGTCCTAATTACCTGCCTTTGAAAGGAATCTGTGCAATAATTACCACAAGGAGGTGGAACGGAAGCAATCACACTTTGCACGCTTTATTCCCCACCACAGGGAAAAGCCTACAGAGTCACCCGCTGGCTTTCCAAAAATGATTATTTCTGTCCTGAGAATCACCTTCAGCACTTATTTTCGAAGCAGAGACACAGACAATCTGGGGGCCGCATAGACGAACACCCCCATCGAGTCGTAGCTTGGTGCGGTGTGTTTGCACAAATCATTTTTATAATAAAACACACTGTGCACAGATGAATGAGCGCGCTGTAATGAATAAACAAAGAGGCCGTTGTGAAGAAAAGCTCCACCGGGATTAAATATGGTGGAAAAAAGGGGCGTGGACAATCTAATAACGCTTGATGTTGCCCGTGAGGAGAACAAATGTATTAATATGGACACCGGGGTCATTGATGCATTGAAGCAAAACCTGATCCGGCACTTTGAAGGGTAACAAATAACAGAAATACGGTTGTGAATTCAAAACAAACCAGGTTTGGGAGAATCATCATGGTTGGGCTTGAAATAATGATGTAAACTAAAATGTTAACGACAAAACATGAGTACTTGATGTAGTCGTGTCTCCTGGATGAAAGTCCTGAGTTTGTAAGTAGTGTGAAACCATTTACAGTATTATTGTTTCAAAGGTTTCCACGCTCTTCTGATTCGCCCCTGAGGCCCGGTCCGCACTGACGATTCCTCAATGAACGAGTCCGTTTCGAAAACCCAGGAGGGCCTCTGCCTCTGCTCCCGTGGAGGAAATTAGATTGACTTTTGAACTCGGAAAAAAACAGATGATGCAGACGTCAACCTTGATCAATTGATTTGGCCGAATTAGCTAAATGCACCTCCGCGAGCCCCACCTCACATGAACATAAAGCATTCGCCACACCGCCGCCAGCAGAGATAGAAGAACGCGACGCGGACGGCCGGTGAGTAATGCCCGGCGTCTCTTTGAACATAACGAATGACTCTCATCTAGAGAGAAGTATTTCCCGAAAAAAGTAAAAGGATGTTCGCAGGAGAAATGTCTCTGCTGGCGCAAAGAGATTTAACCTTCAAACGACGGAGAGCCACTGTGATCTAAGACATTCCCCAGGAAACCCTGAACCAACTGGTGTCTGTTGCTCCGAACATGTTAAATTAATGACTTTTTTGTAGCGTGTCCTTTGATGATCAATTGCATTTTTGTCAACTTGTTAATGAGTTGTGGCGGCGGAACCAGTCTCATGTTTCTAATCACAGTATTGAGTTAAAGTATCTGACTTAACTCTTTGTGTTCAATGTAGTCTGAAAGCTATATATATATATATATATATATATATATATATATATATATATATACTGCAGGGGGGTCGCAGAATTTTTGGTTAATAAGTCGATAATTTTTTCCAGAAATTGCAATGTCTTCAGAATCAGAATTGTATTTATTGTCTTTAAATACACATTAACGTGAATCCAACACATTGTAGCGAAGGGCAAAAATTGACGGAGAAGATGTTAACACACACATTCAGCTTCCCTCAGCAGCTCTCAAGCTGGGCGCCGCTTCACTCACAGCACCTTTCATCCAAATACGACTGCACGGGCACCAGCCAATCAGTTGGCGTTTATGCTCATGTCTAAAGAGCGCCAAGCTCAAAAATAAAAGATGGCGGACCAAACTCTCGCCATCGGTTTGGGGGGGCCGTGGCCTGAAAAACGTTGAAGACCCCTGATCCAGGAGACAGACACTGTACTGCGTTCAACGTAGTGTCCATCAATCTTTTTTTCTCTTTTTGGCCAAACCTGCAATTATAGTTCATTGTTCCGTTGCATTGATTGTAGCGTAACGTCAGTGGCATTAATCTCATTTATATTATGAAACAGGTTGTAGTGTACTGGAGACAAATGGACTTTACTCAATGTCTCAAATGCTTCCATAATGATTTACCATAATCATTGTATCTTGATGAACAGAAAAGTTAAAGCCACATCTTCTATATGAACCATATTACACCAAAAAGAATTGTGAAAAGGGGTGAGAGATGAAAAGCCTGAAAAAAATATCCAAAAGTTGACTCCTTCCATTTCCCAGTTCCCCTGAATAAATCAAAGTTGGTTTAATGGAGAGGAACTTTATTCTCAGATAGGCGGTTTGGGGTAAAACGTCCACTTCCTGTTTCAATTCCATTCTGTGCACAGGCGACGCCGCAGAAGATTAAAAAAAAAGAAAAAGAACTTTCATCGGCCGTTGGGCCCTTTCATCACTCAGGTGACATAAATGCAATTTTTTTGCGGGTGTACTGAAGTCAAGAAGTACAATTTCCCCTTCGCTCCATTGAAAGTCTTCATCTGCCAGAGGATCTGGGGGGAGGCAGGTGGTGTGCAGGGAGGCGAGGCGTCTCATCGATCTGCTGCCTATAAAGAGCAGAGCGTAATTCCACAACCCTTTTTGAGGTACAGTACCAATAATTTTCACTCATTCAACTCAATGAGAAAGTGTGTCCACACTTTTGAATGGTACTGTATCAACTTTTTGAAAGATTTTCCCCTTTAACTCAATCCCAATTTTCTGTGTAGCGATTTAGTGTAGTGCTGTTTAAAGCCTTTTACGTATTTGCTCATCATTCTGTCTCTGCTTTGTGACGGAGAGTCACACGGGATTAGCAGAGATTTAGGGCTGTAAACCACATGTAATAGTAAACCACATGTCCCCAGTGGTTGGATGGGTTGTTCCCCGTGTGGGGACTCGTAGTCTGACGCGCACGTTGCTCCAATAAACCAGGTGCACCGCCATGAAAATCCTTCATAAGAGCAAATGTTGTGAGTAAATTTATGCTCGCATGTCTCACTTCATCACACCCCGCCTCCCCTGCGGCTCAGGGTCTATAATTTGATATGACTGGGTCTTGATTACTATTTACTGTGTTGTCAAGGTGAGCGAGAGAACTCAACTTTGTGAATAAGCAGATTGACTGTCGCAGCTCCAATGAATCAGCCGCCGTTGACTGTATATCCTCTTGCCGTTTCTCTCCTCCCTCCACCGCCCAAGATCGCGGTTGTCAGAGCTGTGTGCGGCTCTGGGAACCGCAGTGACAGAACAGGAAACAGGAGCTCACTGACTGACAGTAAATCATGTCTTTGAATTTTGATTAAAGAAAGGAAATTGAGGCGGCTCGACAGGAATGTGTTGTATGACACCACATAAATTCAGCCAGCGAGAGAGACGGCCGCTGCTGAATGCCAGAGGGCCAATGACAGCACTCTGCAGCATCCTGTGCTGCCCCCCCAGATGTGACATGAAATGCATCTGTTATTTTCTCATCACACGCGCTCCCATTCAACATTTCAGTAGCCCCCCATTTATTACACTGCTGCGTACCGCGTCAAACCGCCGCCCCCCTAACAAGCCGCTGTTAGGAACGGCAACTTCTAGAAAGCTTCTGGCTGCGTAACAACTGCTGGCACATCACAAGCCTGATGAACTGTTTCTTTAACCGATGATTATTGTATTTACCGATCAATCATGATCAGTAATAACAGTTATCATTAGTTCATCTAATGCAACATGCAAAATGTTACACAGCCTAAGGTGACACATTGAAACTGTCCCACAGTTACTTTACAATAATAATACATGACAAAGATGTTTTAACATTTGACGAGATAGTCAGAAGCATCGGAATGAAAAATTCTGCTTGATAATATTACGCAATTAATTCATTTAGATGTACTTCAAGCTAACACTTCCAAATGACAGTTAATACAGTTCTTTATTGTAATTTATTTTATTTTATTTTGAACAACTTCATAGGAGTAGAATCATATAGAAACACGTGGTCATGTTGAACCACATTGAGCATTAACTGAACGCATTTTACTGTTCACATTTACAACACTGCAACGTATCCCACATTTAGGCCTCTGGCAGGAAACTAAAAACAAACCACCCACCTCCCCAACGGTTACCAATATGTCATTTTTGATTAAGCTGACTCTTAGTTACAGCTCTCCTCCAGACATGTTTAGGAATAAAAAACACCCTGTTTTGCATAATGACTGATCTGTTTTTTTCCCCACAGTTTTTCCCACAATTACCTCATTAAAAATTATTGAAATGCCACCTACTCCTTCTCTTCATTGAAATATCCAGATATTGCACATTTTTCTTTTAAAAACAGTTTTTAATTTTAGTTTTCAATTGAAAATACATGTCATATCTGAAGAGTCCACAACCGACTTATCAAATCATATTTGTGTAAGTTGCAGACAGCAAACCTCAAAAGGTTACAATGAGATTACAAAGGTTACAAGGGTACAATGAATAATTCAAACAGCTTTACAGTCGGATATCATTTGGACTTTAAAGTGTTAAATGGCTCATCCTTCCTATGTTCTTCTTCCAGGTCCAGTAGCTGTGATCAGTGGTGAGGAAGACTCTGCCAGCCCTCTTCATCACGTCAACCACGGGATTATAACCCCCTGCACTCTGGATGCGGGTCCTGATGCGGTCGTCATAGGGATGACTCGTATTCCTGTGGTGGAGAATCCTCAGTACTTCAGACACGGACACAATTGCAACAAGCCAACCACCCGTAAGTCCCGGTCCATTTTCTGCATGTTCACGGTGGTGTGTCCCCTGTTGAACACATGCACTCATTACTGGAATTTATGAAAAAAGCAAAGGCCCCCAACTGTTGTCCAAGTACGATTTAAGTATCCTTAGAGCAAAATTGCAACCGAACGTAAAGTATCAGCCAGTCAGAAATGCAACACAACGTCTTTGTTGGGTTCACTAGAGATGTTGCATCCCCATTTTAATTTGCTGTGTATCTTCACGGTGATAAGAGCCAAGGCCCCCGGCGCAGTAAAATAATTGAGTGTCATCAACAGTCCAGGTGATCGTATTGCGTAAGCATCTTCTGTCTCAGTTCCAAACTCTTCATATAGGATCTGCTTGGACAAAAGCAGCTTCCGGGGTACCAGACACACTCACACACACACACACACACTTCACCCCATTCTCCCACGAGACTCGTGTTCCCGGTTTGGGAAAGACAAGACCACTTTAAGGCCTAATTATTTATAATTACATCAACTGCTCAGGAGAATCAGCAGAAAAACAACTGTGCCAGCAGCCCGCCGCGGCCCGGCGCCCGCTGCTTCCCCTTCCTCTTCCTCACGGTACCAGGCCTGCCAGCCGGATTCAGCCGAGGACGGCGGTCCTCCTCTGTGAGCATCAGTGTGCGAGATCAGGCTTCTCCCAACTGTTTCAGCTCGGGTCTGCGTTGTTTTAGACTTTGGCTCGCTCTCAAAATGGCCGCCGGACAGGCCAACAGGCTCCTGTGCTGGAGCCAATGAGGAGGAAGGAAATCCCATTTAGAGGTGATAAATAAATGACGGCTCTTATGTTTTATGAATCGCATGAATTGTTAATGGCCAGCCGGTGATTTATAACATCTCATGGCTCGCACAGGAGATCTGATTGTGAGCTAATGAATAAATGACAGTGGATGGATGAAACTCTCCCCCGATTACCGCGCGCCCGGAATTGGAAGTCAGGACGCTGGCTGTGCTCGACAGTGTCGTCTCTCACGTGGGCTTCTACACAAAGTTCTCCCTCTCTGAATGCTGCGTCCCTTTTTGTTTTCTTTGAAAGCGGTTGCATACAAATATAATGAAAAGGAACCTTGACTCGGCGCAAGGTCAAAATGGCCACTCCTCTGCAAAAACAAAATGGCTCCAAACGCCGTCTGACGGATGGTTCTTTGCCTCTCAGGACAAACACAAACACGGACGGAAAGGCTTGTGTGTCTCCATTAGGTGAACAAAGAATGGATGAATGGCTTGTGGGTGGAGTGGATCGGATGGTCTCTCCCTTTACTTCCCTCCTCTACGCGTCCGTGGCCTCCAGGTCCCCTTTGCATGCTCCCATTGTGCTGCCGGCCTGTTCTGCAACCGCTCAGGCAGCTTTGTTGACGCTTGGCCTCCAATCCATAATATATTTATCCATTTACTTGAAAGCTTCTTATCCAGGAGAATAGCTTGCACACACACACACACACACACACACACACACCTCCGTGCTGTCGGCACAGTAGCACACATACATGCAAACACACGCACTTTCCTTACCAGTGTTCATCAGGAGCTCATTACTGCGTTGGTCAGTCCCGGTCGGCTTCCACCACTAGCTTACTGCGTATTTGGCCTTTGTGCATTTTGGAACCGGCTCCAACAACCAGAACAGCGAGTTCTGTCTCTGCTGTCTGCCGCGCTGGCTTCGGTTAAAACAGGTCCGTGCGATGGGGAACCGGCCCGCTGCAGAGCCAGAATCACACCAGTGGTCCCAGCGTGGATTACCGGATGTGTTATTCATGAGTGTTTGATCTTCAAGTCAATACCCCTAAAGTTTTCGGCTGTGAGGCTGAGGCACATTGCAGGGAATAAAAATAAAAGTAATTTATATATATATATATATATATATATATATATATATATATATATATATATGTGTCGTCATGTTGCCCTCCAGTACAACATGACGACCTTTGCAAACGCTCGCTGGAGAAATTTGGAGCATTACGAGAAGCGTGTTGTCCCAGTTGTCATTCTGACGTCAATTTAACTGTAAACACAAAGTGCCGTTGTTGGTTTGGTTCATCTCCACGGCGAACCGGTGGCCTCCACTCTGGTTGCGGTGAACAGGCGAGCCGTGACTGATTGGGCCGAGCAAAGAGATCAGCCGTCTTTTCTTTTTCTTTTTTCTCCTCGGGCTGACAAAACGGACAAATCCTGGGGAAATATAGCTGCATTAGGGAGATAAAGGCAGAAAACGCAAAGGACAATTCCTTAGCCTAATGACAGATCTATATCTGGTGGGATCCGCTGCCTCACAGCAAGTGGCTTTGTTTTATCACTCAGCTCGCTATTTTAATTACAGATTTGTTACATCCCGCTGGCCAAAATGAGACAATAGCGTTTGATGTTTGGAGTTTAGCGCGTAGCCTTTCACTGCGTCTCTGTTATTAGGGATATCACGCATGGACGCAGCTTGGACTCGCCCCCACTCCGCCCCCTCTGCGCTGGATGTAACACAGACGTAATTATGCTCACGGTGACGTTTTTTTGAAGACTAAAATGATACTGATACTGGCAGAGTGGAGGAGTGACTCATTTGGAAGCTTTAACGGCTCAGCAAATGAACGGAAGCGTAGAGCAGGTTGAATGAAAGGCAAAGATCGGGTTAGCCGGTTGTGAATTCATACAACCTACATTAACTAGCGTGGCGGCAATCTTAATTCCGCGTAATGAATCTTCATAGACAGCAACTTCGTTTTAAAAAGATTTACTTCACAAAAACATTTAGTGCTCGACTTGGCACAACGGTCCAAAAACTGTGTTGCTCTGCAGACCGATAAACCTCGACTGGAGAACAAATGACGTCGTCAGCAATGAAACTTAAAGCAGCATTGATACATTTTTTATAAGACAATAAACACATCTTATTAAGACAAATATGGCTCTTACAACTAGTTGTTTAAGAAGTCCAAGATCGCTTCTTCTTCAGCTCAGCCCGCAAGGCACCAGAAAGATCCCTGAGGAGATGTTTTTTGATGGCAGGTGCAAGTGCAACGGCTGGAAAACAATTTACAGTCTGCAATGGTAATGAATTAAATTGACGAATTAATTAGAAATGTTTGCAACAGTTAATCACTTTTGCAAACTAGAGTGGCGGCACTATGGAACAAAACAGTTCTACATTTCCTAGCTCCTGTCACCGTAAGACAAACGTGTCGTGTAATTATGACAGCCTTTGGTTTATAGGCGAACACCCCCTGCATTCACATTAACACCAGATCCACCCGCTGCCAATTAAAGTCGGATGTAAATCTAACACATTCTCTCAGGTGTTAGCAGGTCAGCACAGCCATGAATACTTTATTCCCATCAGCGATGACCCGAGCCTACAGCGTGTTTGTGACACCGTTGGGTTTTATTACAAACAGAGTTGATACCTCTAGCAGCTGCACTGATATGATCACATACATATGTTGTGCTATTATTCACACAAATCCTCCCCTGAACAGCAAGGGCTTCAACTTTGGTCCTGCAATAACACCGAGGTACAATTTCATCTTTCTATATACAGTAAGTGGAATATAATGGAGGCAATCTGTTCTTCATTTTAATCAAATACAACATTATGAAATCAAAATGGTGAAATTGTGTCAAATGTTTAAATTATTTGCAAAGGTCTAATTGCAATTTCATCATTCTTGTCAAATTTATCCATCTAGCATTTAACACACTGGGGCTTCAGCCTCGTCTTTGACTCCTCACATTCACAACTTACAGCCGGGATGAGTGCGTGCGTGTGCGTGTGCGCGTGCGTACGTGTGATGCCGCGCTTTCCGTCGTCACTGTTCAGCCTGGAATAGACGTCTATTCACACCGTGTTGATCGCGGCCGGGCAGAAGCGACAGAATCCCACGTCGGCAGTCAGCCAGCCCCAGCGGGTTGGGGAGGGATTCCCACTGAGAGTCAACAGTAAGTGCTGGTTACTCATGTCACAGTCGCACAACCACGCCAACAGCCCCCGTGCGGCAGTCAAATTGCCGGCAGAGAGCGTTTTGTGTGCTATTAACTGCTGGATGAGTACCTTTCACCTAACTATCAGCTCCCCGGGGGGCTCGTTCTGTGGGCAAGCCGGGCTGGTGATCTCAGTGAAACGACCACCCTGTCTGATTGCTTTGAAAGCCAGAACTCGGAGGACAATGACACGATAAGATGGTATTAATCCAATGCTATAAATATATATAGTATCATTCTTTGTGTTGATAACCAGCCGTGCTTGATTCAGCACGCTAGTAATGTTTTATGAGTGGAAGTGTTCTCTTTTGTTCTGGGCCCCTATGATAAAAAAAATAACTGCGAGTAAATCGGAATTCCTGACGAGTAACTTGTCCGCTGGCACACAGACACGCGTACAGAACAAAGGCGGCCAAACCGCCGTGCTCCCGCTGACTCCAGCAGCTGGGTAAAAACGTGGGCACGCTGTCTCTCGGCCTCCCGGGAGAGAACGTCTGCTGGCGTCCGGGCCTCAGGTGAGCCTGGACAAATGAGCGGCGCAGAGCGGGATGCAGATGTAGTCTCGGGGGCTTTCCAGCGGGCCTCTCCGGGTAAATAGGGGGCAGGACGCTGCCCGAGTCCGCCTGCAGAGGACGCTGAAGGTCAGAGTGACTTGTCCTCACCTCTGTCGATGGGCATGCTCCCTAATAGCTGCATCCTTCCCAGCGGGGCGGAATCGGGCGGTCAGTGACTTTTTAGCAGCTGAAGTGTAGATGGAATATTGGGGGAATAGAAAAGTGTTTGTTTCAGCCGCAAGAGAAAATAAATTATAGCTTCAGTCACTCAGGATCAATGATCTTAGGTCAAATAAAAACTCATATAAAGCCTTTCTAGAAGAAAGCAAGAATCTGATAGATTGCCTCAAGTGATGTCCTTTGACAAGACAAATAATGTGAGAATGTAAATTATTTTCCTTAAACACGTATATATTTAGCAGACCTCTGGAGCTCTTTGCTTGAGGCCTGCAAGCAAGTTATCCTGTCATGAAAATGACAAGATAACTTGTACCTGTTCACTTTTTTCATTTATGCATCGTAAGCAACTGTAAATGCAAGTAAGTAACTGAGATTATAGTAAAATAATACCATCTAGGTGCATCATTGTTTCTGCATTACCTGACATTAAAAGTATAGATCTTCTGTTGATCTTATAATATTAGTTTATGAACGCTTTGAGGGAAAATGTCTTAACAAATCTACTAACTTGCATGCTATGAATTATTGTACTACATTTGGAATCTAGAAGAAAAATAATAGCGTTGACATATCACATTAATTCACAGTGAAACACATCCAATTGTTAAAGGTGTGTCAGGTTCTTCAGTTCCTCCCCATCTTATTTCTTTCTAAATACGGGCTGGATTGTAAATTAGTGGTACAGCTTTGAAAGTGAGTTGCCACCTCAGTAATGGCAGCTTGTTTACGCCTCGACAGGCAAACCTCTCGGTGCAATCACAGTGTGCACATGTGCGGATTCATTTTTACATCAACACCGGTCCTTACCATTACCGGCTGACAAGTTGTTCCTGTGTCGTCTCGTATTTAGGCAGCGGGGTCAAGTGCATCATCCTGTTTACTCTAAAGTCTCTAAACGCTGTTGAAAAGTTTCAAAATCTGGTGGACAAGCTGAATTGGAATTGATGTTCATTTTACAGGAATAAAAGTGACATCGTGTGCTGCTGCCTGATCAGGAGTCCAAATAGCTCTGTCAAGCCTGCTTGGCTTCCCATCAGTTATTCTAATTCTACACACATTTTGACACCTACGGTTTAAGGCACTTTTTTGCTTTTGCTAAGAGAACTTCTGTTCTCTTAACAGTACAAAGGGAGACAAAATTCAGAGACTAAAAGTGCAAAAAGAGTTAAAGGAGAATCCAGGGAAGGCAAAATGACCTTTATAAGATTAGTAGGAAAACGAGTAGAGAAAGAGTGAAATTCTAAAATAATGAACGAGTATAACCTTTGAGTGCGTTTGGGTTTGGTTGATTTACATAATGACAAAAGGTAGACGTTTTGTGATGAAGCTGATTAGATATGAATAAAACCGATGCAAATGACCAATTTGCACACGATAAGACGCTCACCTCACCTTTCGTAAGAGGAGAAGACACACAAAGTGCATGTGAAGATACCAATGAAACGCTAACTCAAGTTAGAAAAGGTGTGACGTTGTTCTCTGGCACTTCTCCAACTGTCCCATGTGGACGAGCTTAGTGGGGTGTGCGACGACAGCCTAAGCTTCAATACCGGCATCACCGGCGTGATAGGCGAGTAACGGGAATAATACACTTATCCTCGAATGGTCGTAAACGTTTGCGGATTACGCAGAAGTGAACTACAGTAAAATATTGTTCATGTTTCTTGAATAAAATACAATAGTGGAGAGGTAAACACAGGAGTCAGTGGGGGACGGACGTCAAGTGCGGAAACTGAAGAAAAACAATCCCGGTTCCTTTCTAAGCTGCAAGAGTGTCAGAGCTATTTGGCCATTTTGAATTAAAATGCGTATCGGCTTGCAGGATGTTTTCTTGCAGCTCTTGGAGAGCAGATTTTTAGAGGATGAAGCTTTGACAGAAGGGAAGTGCGAGTGTCCCTGGTGGGGCTCACGCCCGCCAAGCTGGCTGCCGGCTTCTGAAGACACTCGCGTTCTGATCTCCTTTAAAAACTGGGACATTACTTTGTGTTAAACACTGATTTTCGGCAACAGTGGTTCTGATGCCTTCTGACAGGAACACCAGAGGAGCAGGTGACTTTTCTCCCTTCTCAGCATGTTCACGGCCAGATGGTCTGGTGATTCTAGGGAATTTTCCCAGAAAAGGAAATGAAAAAATCAAATACCCGGAGGAACGGTCAGACTGAACCAGTAATCTGTGTCTGTGAATGAGGAAATATTTCAGACATTACACTATTCGTCAAAGTCATTTTGGGTAAATGTAGCCGATGCCTCCCATTTATCATCTCCTGCGGCAAACGCCTTAGAAGTTGCATAATGGGATCGCAGGCGGTAAAGGTCCAAGTAGGTGAACTGATATCTGCAGGGAGGTTAAAGCATCACATCTTAGATACAGCATATAGTGGTGGTCCAATCCTCGCTCAGCCTCAGTGAGGTTGCTGACATTGTAGAGGGCACATGAAGTTTACTCTGCATGTTTCACCGGGGAACATTAAGAAGTCAGATGGATACATGTTTACCCAAATTAGCGAGTTAGCGTTACCCCAATGAGCTTCTTACAGGCTGGAGGAAAGTCATCTCACTCACAATAAGTGATGGTCTGGTGAGAAATGAGTTTTTCAAGAAACGTACATCACATTTTGTCTGCTCTACCAGTTTTGCTTCAACGATTACTCAGACTCTTGAGGTATACTGCAAATTCTTTGGGGGGTCATTTCAACTTTCGGGAACAAATTGAGGCCATAGAATATCCAAAGCCCGTCATTAAGCCATCATTCGCTATATGTTTTACAATAACTTATTCCCACGTGAAACACACGCCTCGCAGCTGCAGATTTAAAAAAGAAAATTGAGTCAAACTTTGCTGAAAGTTACCTCCTTCCTCTGGAGAAGGAGATCAAGCAGCATTACTGAAGATGTGGTGAGAAGCTGAAGACACAGTGACCTGCCTCAGAGTTTCATGATGCCTCAGTTGAGTGTTTGCCGATGACAGCAGATCAGCTGTGGAGCTCCGGCTGCAGGGACTCCAGTGTTTGTTTTCATGAGTCCTCGGTGACACATTTTCTATAATACGTATGGAGCCATTGTGTGATTTCAAAAGAGCACATGGAGGACGGATAAAGATCCTGGAGGTTTACTCGTCTACCGTGGAGACTTCGGATTGGCCGATTTTGCTCCGAAGATTATTTATAAGAAGCCTGGAGGTTTATTGGGGAAATAACGCCGGCTGCATCACAGGGCGGTTTAATCAATATGTGCCATTACACAGTGCACAGCTCTTTCCTATAGCAATACAAGAGCCTTTAATTAATATGATCACTGTCAAATCTGACACTGGGGCATTTAGCTTGATTTCCAATTTAATTTCAAATCTGGTTAAATATTGAAATAATTCATGTTATTATTTCGTGGCGCCCCATTTGTTTTTGTCTGTTGGGGGGAAACTGTTACACCTCAGTAATGAAATCTTAGGCTCATAATGGTTTTGATCAGATTAAGAGAAAAGGAGCCCACGGACACTGAATGATCTGTCTGGGGGGATAAACAATTAACATAATGATTTATTCAAACTGGTGGCACTCCTATAAGTTATTGTAGTTAAAAAAAATATTGGACACTGATTGCCATTAACCATTGAAAATTAATTCAATTCAAATTGTTCACATTTCATTTGACATTTTTTTATTTAATTTAAAATGTTATTCTGAACAGCAATATAAAGACAACTACAAAATCAGCCTATTATGGACTATTGTGACCACATGTCTGTAAAAAGTCCATCACAACGCTGCACTAAGACCAAGAGAGTGGTTCACAGTACTCCAGCTCTGAGGTCTTTAACGACCTTTAAACGGGCTGTTGGTTTGTAAAGCCTTCAACGCTTTAGGCCCAAAACAAACGTCTGACCTGCGTAGGAAGCATCTCGACCCCTCAGGTCCTCTGGGACGGGTCTCCTTTCTGTTCCCACAGTCAGCGAAACATGCAGAAGCAGCTTCAGTTCTTCTGCTGCAGGTCTGCAGAGACTCAGCGGCTTCAAATGACTGAAGACTGTTTGCTGCAAAAACGCACAAAAACGTTGATTCTATTTTTAACTCGTTTAATGTCTCAATGTTGTTCGTTGTATTTCCCTTTCCTTTGCCGTATGTTTTGATGCTTTTTAATGGTTTATGTGAAGCACTTTGAATTGCCTCATTGTTGAAATGTGCTCTACAAATAAACCTGCCTTGCCGTTCCAGTTACTAAGCATTACACATATTAGTTTAATTTAATTTATAGCAGAGAGATAGCTAGTGTGCAGATCAAACCCCTGCATGGTGTCGAACTAAAATGTATAGTGCATCTCATCGCCATTTATGTTGTGTTGGGAAGTTGTGTGCACATATATCTTTTTGTAAAAGCGCTGCAATGCTCATGGTAAGCCTACAAGCTGTCATGTTTTATTTAGAGGCACGGGGAGCCAACAACTCAACTCCTACACTTTCCCAACTCTTTCATACCGAGCCTGGCAGGTGTAATGGTGTACGCTCACTAGTATCTGTCATCCTCCATCATTTCTGTCTCACTATTTTCTCCCCTTTCTTCCTCTCGCTCTGTGTTGCTCACAAATACACAACACTAAAGGTCGAAGTTTGCAACATCCAAACGTGACTGTCCGTGACGTCTCAAATGATCCTTTAGAGAGGGTAGTTTTGGGAGGGAGAATAAGAAGAAGTAGGGACATTGGGTCAGTTTTTCTCATTATGCTCAACCTGTTGTTGTGTTTCCCTCATGGACGTTTTACAGGAGAAGACATTTTACAATTCGCCTCTCATTAGAAAACGTCCCGTTGTTTTCACTGCCATTTTACCCACTCTGCCGTACATCTCAACCACCTCCAGCTACAATTTGTTAATGTTTTTAGTCAAGGTAGAGTCCGGTTTATATGGATTCACTTTGACATCAAAGAGACTGTTTCTCCACAAACATGGACCTGGTTATATGTTATATACGTAGGATTCAATTTACGACTGGTTTCCCAACTTTGCTCACTCCCTCCGTTTCTCTCCCTCCTTGTGTACGGTTCAGTAGTCCAGCATATAAAGCGGAGAGACATCATCCTGAAGAGGGAGCTGGGCGAAGGAGCATTCGGGAAGGTCTTCTTGGCAGAGTGCTACAACCTCAGCCCCACCAAGGACAAGATGCTAGTGGCTGTCAAGGTACGTGGTTCTCCCCGTGCGTCGCAAACACCACAAAAGGAACCGTTTGACATGTTAACACACTTTCAGCGAGGAGAGTTACGTGAGGAGATCCCCGCTCATATCCGGCATGTATCGACAATTCTGACGCTGAGCTTTAAAACAGTGACAACTAAAAAAACGGTACTTTTCATCTCATGTAATGACTTTGATTTGAGAGGGGGGAAAAAGAGGCAAAAAAAGAAAACAGTTGCTCGGTAAAATGTGCCAGAATTTCCTAAGTAAGCCCAGTATTCATGTTGAATGATGTTTGACCTATCACGAGCCCCTGCAGTGGACTGTGCCATGATAAATCAGCTTCATGAAAATGTCAGGGGCCTCTCCGCAGGCCAACCACCATCCCTGTGCGTATCTGGTTCCACTTACAGATAGCTGCTGGTTAGTAGTCCTTTTGACATGAGCAGCTCCATTCCTGTCAGTGAGGATGCAAACGCGATGAGAATTGGTAAAACCCGAATGAACTGGTCACTGTGGAATCCGGCGCACAGCATAGACCGCGAAGCTGTTTGTCTGCTGATTTGTGTGGTCGTGCTTTCACAGTGATCGACATGAGGTTGCGCTTGCCGGCTGCTCGTGTGAATATGAGATGATGTTTTATGACTCAGCAAACGTTCACAGGAAACTTAAATGAGAAAACGGCCAGACAACAGCTCTGACCTCTGACCTCGACGGGAGAAGTCAGTGGAAGACTTGAGATGAAGAATACAAAGTCAAGTTATTTTCATACTAATATGGGATTTACAAAACAACTGTTTTATAATAAACATCCTCTACAATTACTTTTTCATTTGTAGAACACAATCTTGTTCATTTTCATCTGAACATGTCGCTGCCTGTGAGGAAGCAAAAAGAGGCTCTCTGAATACAATTAAAGGTCATCAAAGGGAAAATTCACATCAGTGCTCTTGCCTCAATTTATTGCAGTCGAGCACTTGGAGGTATTGTTTTGGAAGGAAGCCCGGACCAGAAACATATCCTTAAGAGTGCAGTTTGATTTGGTAATAGATTTTCATGGCCATTTTACCCACTCTGCCGTACATCTCAACCACCTCCAGCACTTCACTGGGAGAACAGCAGATAGGAGTGAATGTATTTCCATCCCAAGGTCTCCCCATCTGTAATGGCCCCAGCAGCATGCTGAGAAAGCAGGTCTTCAGGCCAAGGAGATCAAAAGAAGCAACTTGCTGTGTTTTCTTCTTCCAAATGATGTGTCGAGAGTCTTTTTTTCTCCCGGTAGAGGCTGCAATATGAAAAATGTTACTGCTGTTATTTGATTTACTTTGCTCGCCGTTTCTGATAACGCCGCCAACTGACATCTCATCACGGATTGATGTGTCATGTTTACTCCATTCAAAGGGTTTCAAGAAACTCTTCATTTTTTTGTCCAATGAGATATATATATACAGTGTATATATATATATATATTACATATTTGAAACAGTGCTGTAGTCCAGATATATATATATATATATATATATATATATATATATATATATATATATAATTGAACCAGGGCGGCCTACGTCACTGTTTTAAAGCTTTTGGTAATCACCATCCACTCTCAGGCAAACCCAGTAATCAAACAACAACACCTTTCCCTTTGTTATCGTTGCTGCTCCCGTGGAGTGGAGCTGATGCGAATAAAGGAAAGGAGGTGGGCAAACAAACATGAGCTGGAGGCAGAAACCCAAAGGAACCGATTATTGGGTGTAAAAGACTTCATATGATAGTATTTCATCAAAGAAAGGGGGTCTTCCGCCGCTGCCTCGGTTCACATGCGTTTTCAGCTAAATGCTGAAGTCAGCATGGCGACATTCACTCAATGCAAATGGTAAGAAGCTGATGTGTTTTGCATCTTCACGCCTCGCGATTAGCACTAAACACACGTATTAGCGCCGCTCAGGTCTTGCACAAACAATTAAAGATGTTAAAATGTTTTACCTGAACAGTTTCCAATGACGGCTCCTCGGGTGCTTCTGTGGAACAAACCATCTGGTTAATCCGGTTTGGGGAATGCAAACGGGGTCAAAGTGGTGGACCGGTCCAACTACAGACAAGGACAACTCTGAAGGACAAATAGGGTGTAGGATTCCAGACAAAGACGAGTTAACTAATTTCATTACTAAGTAACGCAGGAGAAAGAAGAATAGCACAGAGAATAACTTACAATGCAGCTCAATTTGGAGGTCAGAGAGGTTGACGCAGACAAGGCCGCAGGTCGAGGCTGAACCAACAATAGGGTTTTATTTTATGTATCCACAGGAAACGTTTTGTTCTTAAACCTTGCTGTACCTTACAGTTCATTGTGCCAGTCATTTGTCTGATGGTTGATCAGAGTGATCATATATGAAAGCCAGATATATAATCAATAAAATGTCAATCTAATTGCCTGAGGTAAAACCAGTGTACTATTTGGTTGCCAGATGAACTTCCTGCAATTGAAGTCGAACAAACACTTGACTGGTCAACTTTCGTGAACATGTGACGGTGACTTTTACACTTCCCTTTTTTCAGACCCTGAAAGATCCCAACCTGTCGGCACGGAAAGACTTCCAGAGGGAAGCCGAGCTGCTGACCAATCTGCAGCACGACCACATCGTTAAGTTCTACGGCGTCTGCGTGGACGGAGACCCTCTCATCATGGTGTTCGAATACATGAAGCATGGAGACCTGAACAAGTTCCTCAGGTCAGTTGGTGCCTGAAGGCAAGTGGTGGCATAGCAAATATATATATACAACCACATGACTCTCAGATAAAAGTGTCCACCAAGTTATTGACAGCCAGTAATTGTAATGCTTCAATAAACTGAAATTACTTCAGATCCTGCTACCAATACAATATTCAGCCAACTTCCCGTCCTCCTGGGTTATCAAAGATGAGTGCTTCTGTGCTTTTGCTCCGTAATGTCAGACTGCACCGAGGGAAGTGACCTCTGATAAGCCTCAACAAAGGAGACGCGATGCCTGTACGCCATTGGCTTTGGTAATGGGAAGCATGAGTCTGGGATAGAAAGGTGTTGTTTCAAGTGTGTTGACAGCCGCCGTGTGTGTGGTCTACCTTGTTTTTGAAGTCTGAGCAGTAGTTGAAGAGATTTCGCGTTACGATTGGGTGTGAACGCCGCGTGCGGATCGGAGCCCGCGTGACGACTTTCTGTTGGGAAATCAGTCCGGAAATGAAAGGCAATGTCGCGAATGATGAAATTCTTTCATGCAAGGTGCAAGACGTGGCTGATTTTTGGTCTATTGGAACTGTTGGTCACATTTATCAAATGAGATGTGTGGGGAATCGGTGGGGATAAATAGAGAATCTGATGCGCGTGTGCAGCTCGACCTTGCAGATAAAAAGGAGGGCGACTCGCCCTCATTCAGCCACTACTAGATTCATCTCAATGAAATAGATGTAGAGCGACACGCACTAAGGAAGAGTACTACTAATCCCTCTACAGTGGAGCTGGGTTATTACACACACACACATTTAGCCAAGAACGGGGAACGGCACCAAAATTGAGAAATGTAAAACGGAACACAGCTTAGGTGAGAAAGGCAGAGCTTTGCTGCACAGTCTGTAAGGAGAGCGCAACAGCGGGGGGCTTTTCACAGGAAATTAGTTCTTCACCATCACATACAAAGGCCAAGCGGGGAAAGAGTTCTCCACCCCCCCCTACATATTGACGAGTCCGGAGGAAAGTTCCTAACAATGCCGGACTTAAGTATCTGAAAAAGTGTCCAAAACGGACTCCACCAGTGTCTCATATGACAGCCCTGCTTCCACCATTTAAGCTGTCTGAGTTGCTGCAGTTTACAGTCAATTTGAACAGCCCATATTTGATTTGCTAATTATTTTCAATGAATACAAAAATAAAAAAGGGCCCAATATTTATATGGGTTTGTTAGCACTCTGAGGAGCTTTGGGTTTCTTACTAAAGGAGCTTTGAGGTCACAGTTTCTCGTGCTGAAAAGGCTCATGCAGTTGTTAAAATTAGATTTTATAACTTTGAAAGGACGAAATAGCACAAATTCCTTCTCACAAGTTAAACGGTTCACTTCTAAGCAATAATAAAAAAAAAGTACTTTGATATAATCTGGTATAGACGCATTCGGTACGATACGACCACAAGCGTATTATAATAACTCCTGTCAGGTCACTGACTTTATGACTCTTCGGTACACAGATTCCTTTTTTAAATGATCCTTAAGTTACTATTTCTGACCACACCGGCCACTAATCTCATTTCCAAGCAAAGGCTCCAACTCCATAATCAATATTAGATCATCAAGTCACTGATTCATCTTTCTTTGTCACCCAGAGCCCACGGCCCGGACGCCATGATCCTGGTAGATGGACAGCCACTGCAGTCCAACGGAGAACTGGGTCTTTCCCAGATGCTGCACATCGCCACGCAGATCGCCTCGGGCATGGTCTACCTGGGCTCCCAGCACTTTGTCCACAGAGACCTGGCAACCCGTAATTGTCTTGTGGGCAATGGCCTGCTCGTCAAGATTGGAGACTTCGGCATGTCCAGGGACATCTACAGCAGTGACTACTACAGGGTAAGACGTCAGTCCTTATCGTGTGCTTGTTCTTTGCCATTGAAGTAACGGGGGCTACGGGGGTTTTCACTATTCGCAGACTGCCAAAGCGATTGAGGAGGATTTTTGCCTCACTCCAAATGTGCTTTTGACAGTCGACTTGCTTTAACATTTTGGCCAAAAGAAATAAAATATAAATAAGAACATATTTTGTTTCTTTCTGTACACTTTAACGCAAGACAGTATTAGTACACTGCAGCAAACACATAAATATAACATTTAGGTTCACAATGCTTTTTGCTTTGTCTGTAATTGTGTCTGAAAGTTCCCTAAATAGATCCTGTGGGACTGCCGGCTAAAAATATACTTATGAGGATGCAGACTGCGTCTCTCCCGTGGGATTGTTTCATTTGTTTTGGATGTTTGTTTACGCCTTTTCTTTGCTACGGAGAAAGAACGCGCTCTCCCTCCCCAGCGTAGCCCCGGGCCCCCACGCCAGCCCTCACGCACTCCCACCGAGGACGGAGAGCTTTAGCACTGCGGTGCAGGAGACCAGCCTTCCGAGCCTCCAGCCTGACGCTTGTTTACACAGCTCGCCATTAATGTCCTCTCTACTGTTTAACCCGATTAGCAAACCAGGCGGCAAACGGCGGGCTGAGGAAACATAATGAGTGGTTATTACGGACGCGCGGCTGCTACATATCTGGAGCCCTCAAACAGCCCCGGTCTTGTGAAATGACTTTAGGTGCGTCTGATTTTGTTTTCCCAGCGTGGCAGCTGGGCCAGTTCGGACCTTGCTGGGGGCAACGCCAGCAGTTATGAAGCACTTGCCTGCTGGGTGAGCAGCTCTGCACACATGAAATGATTTGTGAGGAAATCTGTGCGAGATGTCTTTAGTGCTGTAGTGCATTGCTCCTCCATGCATACCCATCTGTGTGGTGTGTTATTATTAGATATTATCAAACTAAATAATTTGCTTTTGAGTTGTTAAAGAATTATGCCGATATCGTGTTTGCGTGTGTGTGTCTTTCTGTGGTTGTGTGTGTGTGTTCTGTGCACAGGCTGTGGGCATGGTAGCTTGTGTGTCCCTATAGCCAACCTAACTGCTTTGGAGCTGAGAATAGACGAGTGTCGGGTTGTCGATGAGGGCAGCAGCAGAAAAAACAGTGTCCTGACTTTAAAAGGGAAAAGTGTCAGGAATGTTTCTGCTTGAAGATCTCTGACCTCAACCACAGAGCAGCGCCGTGAAACCATTGTGACCAAACAACATCAAAATCTCTATTTTAATTACAGAATACCAAACACTACCATTGCGTCTCAGAGCTCAGTGGATATCCATTTTCCAGTCACACTTCTGAAATATAAAAATGATCAAAATCAGAAACAGATATAGTTGCTGCGTGAGGCTGAACCCTGCTCATCATTGTAGCATTTACATTTACAGCGATACTGCATTGATGTTCTCTACTCCTCAACATTCATTTTCTCTTTGAAATCTGTGGAACATGCTGACTACCGTCCCACATAAGGAAGTTTTTATATTTACATTTTCTTGGGGTATTTTGGCATTTCCTTGTCCTTACATGTGCATCTAATTGCATTTAATAAAGTATTTTCCATTGCGTGTAGTTTACTTTGGCAATGCTCAGTATTTTTCAGCAACAAAAAGAAAAAAGTCCCCCAAACAGATATATTTTATTTTGTTTATTTATCTTTTCTTAGCCCACCCAAAGCTGTCAATTGCACTTTGGGGCAATTGAAGAGTCCGTTCCGAGTCCTTTCCCTTTCTCAAGATGATTGCAGATTCCCTGCGCTCCTCCTCGTTTTAGCCCCAACAATAGTTCATTTATTGTCTAAGACTAAGTCACGGCTGATTTAGCGGACAGATTGATATCTACTACTGCATTTGGAGATTAAATAAATCAGCAGTGTTGTTGTCTTAACAATTATACTAATAGTGTCAGTTTAAAAGAAGGTAAAAAAAAAGAGTAGCTGCAGGTTTCAACAGATAAAGAATTAACATCTCGGTCATTTAATATATTCCTGTATGTCTATTTACTCTTAGATCACGTGTCTGTGAAATATCCAGTGGATTATTAAGGTAATATCAGGTATATGTGGCGTAAAACAGCACACACCTACAAATGAATCAATCCCAGACTTTAAAGAAGAATCCAAAGTCTATTTTTGTTTTTAAGGTCAAATGTTGGTTTCCTCTATTGAAAACAGTCAATTTTTTAGTTCATTTTTTTAAGTGTTATAAGGTGGAATCATTCATTGAATGTTATACCGATCCAGTACACACACACACACACACACACACACACACACACACACACACACACACACACTGCAGTGAGAAATACTTGATTGGTCAGTATTAAAAAAAGAAAAACTAGTTTCAGTGTGTGTGTGTGTGTGTGTGTGTGTGTGGCGGGCCTTTTGCAGAGCTGCTGTTTGGTGCATCGTGATAGCATCGCTTCCCGCCTACAAAGAGGAATATTGACAGCACCCAGAGATAAGGAGCTCCTCACACTATTGGACACTCTCCTTGTGATCAGTGATTATAAATAGCAGCGCGCTGCCAAGAAAACAATCCCCCTCATCGGCGCACTCGTCACATGACGCTTGTTGTCCACTGGGACCCACAGGACTCCTTGCAGCAGAGGGGACAACGTGGGGAAAGAGTTGAATATTGTCCTAAATCACATCCATATGTCATATCCTCCTGCCCTGAAGGTGCTTCTGTGTTGTTTCAAGAAACAACTGCAGAACCCGCACAGCCCGAAGGCAGCGCCGCCTGCTTCCGTATGGATGGTTTGTACCACTGACTCACGATAAATCAGCTATTGTTTTCCTGAGTTCAACGCGCGAGGCACTGAATTATGCATTTCTAGGATCGTAAATGACAGTGAACGCTCAAAAGGCCCAAATGCATGAAGGCGGAGGAGTCAAATTCAGTTTTTTTTACTGGGAACATCATCTAAGGGACAAATGGAGAGCAGCCGACACAGGGTTAACCCGAATGTCTTCTCCCATCTCATTATTATTAGATACATTATCAGACGTTCTTCTAGTTCATGTCTTCATTAATACAGAGCGGAGATACTGGAATGCACTGTAGTGAATGTGATGGCACTTGACCGCTAATTCCCATAATTTTTCCTATTATACCCAGTATCATTTGTACAACATTCATTGGTTATGTGTTGAATCCAGAGTTCAATAACGCTGTCGGATTTTATAAACTCATTTTTGTCATTTCTGTTGAAGCATGAAAAAGAAGTTCCACAAAAGCTTTCTCTGTTCGGCTTTCTGGAAGCTGCTCTTCCAGATAAGGAGAGAAATGCAGAAATACAAGTGCAGCATTGTCCGAATGTAAAGGAGGATGGTGTTGAGAAACACAAGCGTGTGTCCAGCCAGTGTAGCTGAAGGAAGAACAGCAATTACAATAAAAACACTTGGCGTGGACGCAAAAATAGTTTGGAAGCCACAATCTGCATTTTAGATCCAGACTAATCAAACACTGTAACGATGTTATAATCCAATGACTCAGTTCCAAGGACTTTTGTGTTCTTTGTGACTCTGCCAGGAAGCTTCCGCTTACCTGCACTGCTTTGCTTTAAGGAAAAATGGTCCCCAGGTTTCTTCTGTTCCAAGGATCAAACAGACGCTCCTCTCCTGCTTTATTTATCAAGCGCAGGCTCCTCAAAACGGTACGCGGCTTGGTGCTAATGAGTACACAGGCCGCATTTATTACTGCTTCACGAAGGGATAAAAAAAAACTCTTCTGCCTCCCCCCAAGGGCCCTTTTCTTCCCTCTTTGCAGAGGATTCCTTCCTCACATGGTCACCAGCTCATTGGCACCTACAGTTTAAAGAGTGAAGGAGGAAGTCTGGCTTTTGAGGCCACAAGAAATACTCCATTTCTTGTATTCCTGAATTCTTTAGAGTTAGTTCAAAACTTTGGAAATATGCTTATTAACTTTCTTGACCAGACTTCGATGAGGAGGTTGATGCCCCTCTCGGGAAATATGAAGCTCCTGCCGCTAGCTAGTTAGCTTAGCATAAAGACTGGAAGCAGGGGTAAACAGCTTCTGTTTAAAACAAGCAAAACCAGCTTATCAGCACAGGTAAATCTACTTAATTAAAACTCTACATGTTGTTTGTTCTATCCTAACAAATTTCATTTGAAACAATTCTTGCATGTTAGTGCTTTTAGCATTTAGCTGAAACGTTACTATGCCTAAGTAGTCTACATTTTCCTGTAGCTGCTAGCATGGCGCAAGTGGACTAAGGACGTGTACGACTCCACTTCAGGGCTCTAAATAAGGCTCCCATTCACTTTATTAGACAGGTTCCTGCTTATTTAAAGGCAGATTTAGCAAATTGGAGAAGCATGCAGTCTACTCGCTACCTACACAACATGGGCGCTGCGTGTAAACACCATAGCTGGTCTGAAAGCAGCAACTGTTTGTGTAGCCATGTGTAAATTGGGACCTTTTGTCTTGCTATTCGTTTGTCAACAAATTAAAATCATGCGGAGGGGGCTCATATCCACATACTTTTATACAATTAAACAGAACAAAAGGGTTGTTCTGCTCAGAATTTCTATCGCATATCTGCACAGCAGTTTCAGTCAGCAGCAACCCTAAAGATATATATATATATATGTGTGTCCAAACATTGTATTGCACGGGTGAGTTTTGAGAGCTACACACTATAATTGTTAATGAGAAATCGCAGGTTTGCAATTGGTGTAATTTGTTTGTGCGTGTGTGTACGTTTTTTTTCGAAAACCTTCAGAAACTTTCACCACCCACTGGCACACTCCGGCCAGACTAGATACCACTTTATCTGCACTTGGCAGCGGCACAGCAGGTAGAAACCCAGCCTCTAAAGGAGAACTTGTGTTTGCCGCTGTTTGAGCTGGGAGAGCGCAGATAGCAGTGGGGTTAGAGCAAAGGGAAAGAGTGTGTCTAGATAGTTATCGGGCCCTTTAAAATGTCTGGGGCCTCCCAG